GGGGATGGACTTACTCTTCCCCCCGCCCCGCCCCACCCTTCCCCGGCCCAGGCCCCGCTGCCCGTGGCATTGCTATGTGGTAATCTTATCAACTTTTTTTCGTGATTATTTTTTTTTTCTATTTGTGCTCACTGATTGAAACTGTTAGGAGTTTGGATTAAACATGCTCTAAAAATAGATAAAAGAGAGTAAAATAGTTTTACATTTCATCGTGAGTAGAAATATTATGAATGGAGGATGATGAGTTTCTCTACTAGAGTAAACTAAGAAATGAGAAGAATTATTAAATTAGCAAAATTTTAAGTTTTCATCTTTTAACACTTTATGGTTGTAATATGAATTGTAATAACAAAAATTCTTCTAGGAAACTTCAAGTGTAGTTTTATTGTTTTTAGAGTTCAATTTTATTTTCCTTTTCTTCCTTTCGCTCTAATAGTTTCGTTTCTCTTTTTGTGGTCCAATAACACTTTAAATAGAATACTACATTCTTTTGGCTTTTACATTTTACAATCTAGATTATTGACTAGATTATTTAAAATGTTGTTGGATTATTTAAAATATTAGATTTATTTAAAATTTGGATTATACTACTTGGGCTTGAGCTTAAGCGGGTACGGAAGAAGCAGAGACAGGGACGGAAATTAGAAATTTACCCGCGAACGGGGATAGAGATGAAAACTATACCCGTTAACAGAGATGGACGAAATTTTTTTAAGCAGGTATGGGAATGAAGACTACACTCCCCGCCCCCGCTTCAATCCGTTGACATCCCACTAACCCATCACCACTGCAATCTCCAAAATTCAACTTAATTGTAATGTATCCTAAAATTCAAATCACTATTTGAATATGGCATTAACTTTAAACCAAATTGACTCTCCCAAACCACCAACTTACAAAGCTCTCTTTATCTCTTTCTATCTTTCACACACTCTCTTTCTCTCTCACACACACACACACAATTGTAGTTGTTAGACCATCTCTAACAGAAATTCAAACCTTTATTTAAATTTGAGTGAAAAAAATGGTAAAAAATTTGATTTGGTATAGACTTCTACACTGGAGAAATTTAAATTTAAAAGAAGAAAAATATAAATTTAAAAAAAAAATAAAATATGATTATTAGATCTTTAAAAAATGCTAAAATCTCGTCATTAAATATTTGGGTTTAAAAAAATGTCTCCCTTGATTTGAATTTTAAAAAGAATTTCTTTTCATTTAATACGAGTATGAGTCTAACACTGGAGAAACATTTTAAACTATTTTTATTGAAATTTAAATATGAGTAAAAAAAAATTAAAGTCCGGAGATGCTCTTAACCAATCCCATTATTTTAACCAAGTTGCAGCATTATCAACGAACGCGTATGAGTATCACTCATATTGTATATGAAACTCACGTGCATCAAGCCAACCTAAAGTCGAGCAGGGTTAAAGGGTAATGCAGATCCGTCAACCCTCAGGTATCTTTAGAATATGAATTAAAAGTCAAATGTATCTACTTTTTGTTTTCCAAAAAGTCAAAGTCTCTTCCAGCTTGGTACTATCTGGTTTGTTCTCTCTGTCTTTCTCTCTCCCTATATGACTGTTTGTATCTCTTTTCTCTCCCTCCAAGTGCTCTGCTTGTGTGGGTATCCATCTACCTTCAGATGGTTACCTGTTCGTTTCTTTTTCCTTATCATATTCGTGTCCATCATATATGGTTCAAAGAATTTAGGCTCGTTTGAGGCCCATCCCGCACACTCACCATTTCATTGTTGTTGCTTATAAATCCCGAGTTTTATTCTATTCTTGATTGACTCAAAGCTGCCTCGGTCAGTTCAATCGAGTCATATCCAAGTTATCGACGTTATCTCACAATCTTATCTTTCAACGTATATCTACAACGTCACCATATAATGGGAATTATGTTAAAGTTCATCTTCTATCGATACTTTCGAGTCATATCGGGATACCACAAACTTGAACCATGGCTTCATATTAATCAACAAACCTCCTCCAGTCTCGAAAGAACACCAAACCTTGACAATTCATGTATCCATTATTAAAAACACTTTAAAGGTTTACCAGTGTTTGTGTGCCCTCAATCTTTCCCATCTACACCTTAATGCTCCAACACCGCCTACAACTTCAAATTCACTTCCCAAAAAACGGGGAACCCATGCATGTCAAATTGGCTTCCTAGAATCACGGCAGGGGAGGATTTCAAAAACGTTTGGGGTCCATTTGAAATTTTGGAAATTCTTAGCAGTTTGTAAAACTTGCCCCCACTGAAGTTTGTAAAAGATCTGGGGTTAGATCTATAATTTAGAACCTAACGGGTTTCCTTGGTTAGGCTTCATTTGGTTAGCAAGATATTGATGGAAAGTACGGAAAAGACAAAACAATTCTGATTTTTTACTATTTGTTTAACATAATAATGCTAAAAACTAAATTCTTGGGCTAACAAATTTTTTTAGCAACATACAATTCGTATTTCTTGCTAATTGTGCAGAAAAATAATTCTTTCCCAAGAAAGTTAAACAAATATATCTAGTTTTTCACTTTGTCTATATTTCTCCCACGTTGATTATATCTAATAGATATAAATCTCCCTACTATAGATAAGGGTAATATTGATATTTAAATAAATTTTTTTGTAATTTTCTTGCTTTTCAAATTATAGGAAAGAAAAAAAAATCCCAATTTTTTTAGTGTTTATTTAACATGATAATGATATAAAATATTAGAAACTTCCACAATTTTCTAGTAAAATATTGTTCTTGTTTCTTGCAAATCGTGCCCCGTGAAAG